ACACGATGACTTCTTCAGTCCACCAGAGGAATTGTACCAACACAATCGAACAATTACCGTCTGTATTGATCACATGGAGATCGGAGATGCTAAGTTTCTCACCTGCATTGATACCACTGTGCGTTATCTCTCATGTATTCCCATACAGAACCTCAAGACTGACCCTGTATTTGACGCATTGGATAAGATATTCCGCCGCTACAATAAGGCAGGCTTTCAAGTCAAGACGATCAAGTGTGATCGGGCGTTCATCCCTCTGACGGATGATATGCTAGATGATATGGATGTTACTATTGACCTGACTGCAGCTGGAGACCACGAGCATACAGCTGAGCGAAACAATAGGACGCTGAAAGAAAGAGTTAGAGTAGGTCTTGCACGATTACCCTAAGTGGTCCCAAAAGTGATCACTGAATGTCTTGGACGTCGAGCCGCCGAGCTATTGACTGTCTTTCCCCAGAAAGACAGTATTTCCTCACATTTCAGTCCGCAGCAACTCATTGATAATGTCAATATCAACTACAAGAGTGACATGGTTGCTGAGCTTGGACAGTATGTTCATGCCATTGGGTCGGATTCCAACAATTTGATGGAACCACAAAGTATTGAAGCGATCTACATTGAACCTACAAAGGGACAAGGTACTGGGCACCGAGTGCTCAACCTTGATACTAAGAAAACGATTTCTTGACCCAAGATTGTCGTACTACCCGTTACCGATCAAGTAATCCAGCGTGCTGAAGCTTGGGCTGCTGCCGAAGGTGTTACTTCCATGAAGTTCTTCAATAAGAAGAGAGATTTGGAGACATTTCAAGATGGCAATCAAATTGCAGGAGTGGATGACACGGAACAAGGTTACTTAGAGGAAGCCTTCAATCAGGACTATGAACCTGAAGATGAAGATGAACGTGATTTCAACCTACGTGGACAATTCGATGATATCGATGACTCCAAAAGAAATGAGCTCTTGGCAGATGCAGACAATGATGTCAATGATATGCCGGAACTCACTGTCAGATTCCAAGGGGATGATGACTATGAATCAGATGACGACGATTCGGGTGATGAAGGCGATGAAGAGGAAGAACCTATTGTGGCCGATTTGGATCACCATCAAGA